AATAATTTTTGCCTAGCCCAAGGTCATGATTTTTGCCACCTATGTTTCTAGAAATTTTGTTTTACATTTATGTCTGCAATTCTTAATTTTGTATACAATGCAAAGAATACATAGCTTTTCCTTTATGTATGATGGACATTGAACTGATCCAGCACTGTTTTTTGAAAAGACTATACTTTGTTGAATTATTTTTGCTCCTTAGTTAAAAAAAAAAATCAGTAATCCATGAATATGAGACCTACTTCTAGACTATTCTGCTTCAACCATCAAACTACCACCTTGACACTAATGCCATGTCCAGTCTCTTGATTTGTGTTGCTTTATACATCATAAATTCCAGTAGTAGTTGTTTAAGCTATTCTTGGTCTTTTGCATTACCATATCATTATTAATATCTTGTCAATGTTTACAAAAAAAAGCTTCCTTGGGATTCTGATAGGAATCGACTATAGATCAATTTAGGGGAGACAGACACCTTAACAGCCAGTCTTCTGACTAGTGAAAACAGTTTGTCTATCTAGGTTAATTTCAAGAATTTAAAAAGTATATTTTATTTTTTGGTACTGGCAATTGAAACTAGGGGCGCTTAGCCACTGAACCACATCCCCAGTCCTTTTAAATTTTGAGATACGGTCTCACTAAATTGTTTAGGCTGGTTTTGAACTTGGAATTCTCCTGCCTTAGCCTCCTGAGTTGCTGTGATCACATGTACATGCCATCATGCCCAGCATAAAAAAAATCAGCTTTTTAAAAATTTTTCTTTTTTTTGGTGTCCAGGACTTTTCCACTTTTGTTGAATTTATGTCTAAGTATATTGTATTTTTAAATGTGACCACACTGATTTTGGCCCTTTCCTACGTTGGCTTCAGATTCCAAGTTGAAAAGGAGCCTTCTTTCTCAATAAAACAATTATAAAATAGCAAGCAAAATCACATAGGATATAGCGTAAGGTGTTAAAATTTTGTTCTACTGGGGCACTCTACCACTGAGCAAATCCCCAGCCCTTTTTTCTTTTGAGACAGGGTCTCACTAAATTGCTGAGGCTGGCCTTGAACTTTCCATTTTCTTGCCTCAGCCTCCCAATTAGTTGGGATTATAAATAGAGTAGCTGGGATTACAGGTGTCATTTACAAACAGCACTTCTTTTTTGTTTTCTTCATGTTGCAATTTACTTAACCTCCTTTGGGAATGAGAGCCAAGTTTTGCAACACCATTTTCTTTTTTTGTTGTTGGTACCAGAGATTGAACTCTGGGTCACTTGACCATTGAGCCACATCCCCAGCCCTGTTTTGTATTTTATTTAGAGGCAGGGTCTCACTGAATTGCTAAGCACTTCTCCAATGCTGAGGCTGATTACAGATGTGCACCACCGTGCCTGGCTTGCACTGCCATTTTCTATTGGTGCAGACTGAGAAAAAAAAATACCTTAAAAGAATAGCCATGAAAAGCTAGTAGAATTATTTGAAAATCACTATCCACTAAGATAAACACCAAAAATGGAGAAAGTACCAAATTCTCAAAAATAAAATAGTAAAAATAAGGGAAATTTTTTTCCTTAATCAAAGTATATGCTTAAATATATTGCACATCTAATATTCAAACATTAAAAAACCCATTGGTGGACACAGTGGTGCCCACCTATAATTCAAGCAACATGGGAGGCTATGACAGAACCAAGTTCAAGTAAGACCCTGTCTCAAAATAAAAAATAAGGGTTAAGGATCCCTGGGTTCAATTTCTAATAGGGCAAAACCAAACCAAACCTAATAAAAGCCCTCCTCAATTGCAGACAAAGCCAAGATAGTATTTCTTTGGTATCAGGGATTGAACGCAGAAGCGCTTAACCACTGAGCCACATCCCCAGCCCTTTATTATTATTTTGTAGTTATAGATGGACAGAATGCCTTTATTATTTTTTTTAAATGTGGTGCTAAGGATCGTACCCAGTGCCTCACACATGCTAGGCAAGTGCTCTGCCATTAAGCAGGGAACTCACTGACCAGCCTCACCCCCAGCCCTTTTTCATATATTATTTAGAGACAGGGTTTTGCCAAGTTGCTGAGGCTGGCTTTGAGACACTGGGATTACAGGCACACACTAATGTGCTTGGCTCAAGAACGGTATTTTGGGCTGAGGATGTGGCTCAAGTGGTAACACGCTCGTCTGGCATGCGCAGGGCGCTGATTCGATCCTCAGCACCACATAAAAATAAAATAAAGATGTTGTCTCCGCCGAAAACTGAAAAATAAATATTAAAAAAATCTCTAAAAAAAAAAAAAAAAAGAATGGTATCTCGAGGCGTCACAATGAAGATACTGGCCTTGGAGCTGGAGTTGCAGCTCGGCGGTAGAGAGTTTTCCTTCCATGTGTGAGGCACTGGGTTCGATTCTCAGCACTACATATAAATAAGTGAATAAATCAACTAAAAAAAAATCCTGGCCTCCACATTTCCATTAAAGACATCTGGATTCCCCTTCTAAAGTCTATTTAAAAGTAATACTTAATAAAATATATTTTGTGTTAATACCTGTTCTAGGTATTTGACATAAAAAAAATGAATGAAAAAAGGTCCCTGTCATCACAGTGAGGCTGGCAGAAAATGCGGCTCAAAATATGGAACTCACTGACCATCTCAAAGAGTACCTGAATCTCATTCCAAGATGGATTAAGTCATTTTGACAAATCTGATTGTCTTCAGAAAGTCTCATGCTAATGACCATCTACATGAAGCGGGATATAAGAGCATTTTGGAATGGTTTGACCCTACCAGACGTGGCTATGGGAAGACTCCTGATTTCTACAGAAGACAAATCTTCATAAGCATCTTTATACATATATAAATATATATATATATTTTAAAAAGTAGGTATCAATATAGTGCACTGTCAAACTTACATACATAGGACATGTGTCTTAAACCATCAGTTACTTGATCATTAACTAAGGGAAACCCATGCAGAGTGACTTAAAATTTTGGAGAGTAAGCCTGATGGAATGTTAAGTACTTGTTCATCCGTGTGTATTTATTTATTTATATTAGGTCTTATTACTGAGTGATTCCCTTCCCCTCTGAGTTCAGTAATAAGAACAGAACCTCACAAATTTCAGCAGAAAGAGCCAATTCAAGAAAACAGGTGCTTATAATCTTTAGAAGGGCTGTTAAAAAACGGAAGTCAGCAGGTGACCACAGAATTTGGCTTTAGCATCCTACCAACTCGGAGGTCAGAGGTCGGAAGCTGCTGTTTCCACTGATGCTACTGCTATTAGCATCACAATCACAGTCACCACCCATTCACGATGCTGGTAAGTCCAGTGGGATGAGCAGTCTTACTGCCTGCAGCAGTCCCATCTGCTGGTTGCTTCCACTGCCTGTCCCACCAACCATGATGCCTGCACCTTCCCGGTCACATTCCACATCCTTTGCAAATGTAATGCATCCTGTTGGCATACAGAGCTCTGGCTATTAGGAATCCTGAGAAATGTAGCTTTTTCCTCTCCAACCTCTCAATAGAAGGAGGATAAAATGGAGGTCAAGATTGCTAACCCAAATACCTAGTTCGCACAGAAATGAACCAATTTTCAGTGTTCCCCTTGCTTCATCTAAAACAATTCTTTGGAAATATTATTCTATCTTGATCTAAATAAATAGTCTACTTTGTAAACACATCAAAGTATATTTGAACTAAATATGTGCTAGGAAAAAGGGCACATCAAATATGCTTACGATATAGAGTTACTTTTCACATAGAACACTATTGCTCCTATCTCCTGACTCTATATAAGCAGTCTTGCGGTGTGTATGTCACAAAAACTCCATATGCTTACTGACATGACTTTAAGCCCCTTTTCTGATTTGACAGCTTTCAATCCTAACCCTCAGCCCACCTTTAACTGCAATCTTTTAGTGCCCTCTCACCCATTACACTACCCTTTTTAATTCATCTTTTATAAGGGATGTGTTTGCCCATAGTAAGACTCTACCAAAGTACCTTTTTTTTTGTGTGGGGGGGGAGGGTGCTGGGGATTGAACCCAGGGCCTTGAGTATATAAGGCAAGCACTCTACCAACTGAGCTACATCCCCAGCCCTACCATAGTACCTTAAACACAAACACAAAACCAATTATTCTCATAAGATGTTCAGAATTAAGCAGTTTCTAATCGTTAAACCAAAGAATTTTAGGGACAAGGTTTCTGCTCTTATTGGACTTCTCCCTGGTCTGAAGACAGATGCTGAGGCTCTTGCTATAGTGCTGCATCCTAGCAAGAAAAACAAAGGCAGGAGCAAAAAAGTTTCCTTCACAAAGTTCCCTCAGAAACTTATACTAACAGCTTTCAAAACCATTGCCCCAGTTCCTACTGTCCAGGGAGGCTGGGAAATGTATGGTCTTTTAACTTGGCACAGTGCCACTCCCACCTTAAAGGGAATCTACACCTGAAGAAAAGGATAGCTATGATGTAGACAAACAGTCTTAAAAAAAAACACAAACAAACAAACAAAAAAACTCCTAAGCTAAAGAGTCTCTCTCAGGCCAAATTAGGCAAATATTTGTGTCAGACAAACAGTTTAACCTATTTCATAACTAATACATCTTACATGCAATGACAACAATTATTTTTAATTATTATTATACTTTATATATTTTTTGTGGTACCAGGGATTGAATTCATGGGCATTCAACCACTAAGCCACATTCCCAGGGTCTCACCAAGTTGTTTAGCACCTTGTGCCGCTGCCGAGGCTGACTTTCAACTTGTGATCCTCTGATGTCAGCCTCCTGAATGCTGGGATTACAGGCTTGCACCACCCTGCCAGGCTGTTATTCTTTTTTGAGACAGGATCTTGCTAAGTTTCTGATCTGGCCTGAAACTTGTGATCCTCCTGCCTCAGCCTCCTGAGTTGCTGGAATTATAGGCACATACATTCATGGGGCCCAGCTGAAATGATAGCCAATTTTCAAACAGCAGGTAACTACACTGAATATTGAACAAGACTTTTATGTCAGTTTTTGAGTTATTATTGTTTATTTTGAAAATATTTCCCAACAGAGGTAGAGAATACAATGTAGGGTTAGCCAAATCCCCTGCTATTGTTGATGGCTACTTGAAGTGCTTCTTCCACTCTCTCCATAGTAGAATACTTAGGGAGGTAGAGAACACTAAAACATGTCTGCGCTCTCATGGGATCTTTTTCATTCAAATTTTCAGGGCAGCAAAATCTTATTTTCATATTCTTTAAATCTTTCATTTGTAGTCTGTCAGTGCCTGTAAGAAACACTGAAAAGAAGAATGCAACAGGATGACCTATTACATATGAAGACCAAAATCTCTTTATAAAGACAGAAAATCTATTTTTTAAAAAATAACTTTACTAAGGGCCCATGAGCAGAGTCCTATATTAAATAGTACATTGGGGACCATATTAGGACAAGATTTGGCATAGTCACTGCCATCAAACAATTCCCAAGACCGGCTGGGAATACAGTAGTCATTTCCTACCCCCAAGTTCCAAGATCCCAGTGGATGCCTCAAACTGTGGACACTATATGTACCCTACGCTTACTGTTTTTTCCTATTTATACATAATTATGATAAACTAAACTTTTCACTTAAGGAAGATGTTTATAACTTCTCTTCAATATATATGAACTGGCAGCAAAAATTATTCATGCACTTTGGGGCCACCATTAAGTAAGATAAGGGTTACTTAAACATAAGCACTGTGATACATCGATGGTCAATCTGAAAATGAGATGGCTAGTAAGTGACTGGTGACCAGGGAGTGTATGTAGTGAGCATATGCTGGACAAAAGGATGATTCGTGTCCAGGTAGGGCAGACTAGGATGACACAAAATTTTGTCATGCTTCCCAGAATGGCATGTTAACTTAAACTTAAGGATTGTTTACTTCTGGAATTTTCTATTTAATATTCTCACACAGTGCTTGTCCATAAGAAACTGAAACCACAGATGAAGAGAGGGATACTATATAGATTTGTGTATAGAACAAGACCAAAAAACGAGTAAATAGGACAGCCAAAGAGAAATTAAATGCCTTCTGTGTAAATGCTGTGTTTGAGGGTAGGGAGAGGATGCCAGGCTGGGATGAGCAGAGAAGAGTTTAGAGTAATAAACTAGAGTTTATTCACAGTATGAGAATCTGTCTCAGAGTTATTATAAAGATTAGTCAGGATAACAGTGCACATGGCAAGTTCTTCATGACTGTTAGGAGTTCAAGCCTTTAGATTTACCCTCCAATTTTTTTTTTTAGAGTTTAGAGTTTAGAAGGGAAAATAAAGAGGTAGGTGAGGCTCAAGGCACAGGGAGGAACGTCAGAGAGGGCCCAGAGGCAGGAGTGCAAGGCGAGCTCAGGAAAAGATTCCTCTGGAAGTTAAGACTACAGAGGCAGGCTGCTGGCTTCAGGGTAACTGAGTGCCTTCCAACATACATGTCATCCACAAAAACAAGAACAGGAAGATTACTGCTTCTTCAAAGTAAGGAAGCAGTAAGCAACTGAGAAAGTCATTAAGCCAACCTCAGGAAACCATCATGTAGGTATAAAACTGAGATCAAAAGCTGGGAGGTGAGTTAGAATAGGCTTGGAAACACAAGTAAAACAGCTTGTATACAGTAACAACAACATAGCAACAGAAAAAATTACCCTGACAAAATATTTTGGTAAATCCCACAAAGGCTGGGTAATTCAATGGAGAGTGCAAAATGAATACTCAAAATTTAGCTTGGACAAAGAAAACAAGAAAAAATTTAAAAGCAGGAAGCAGGGATGAAATATTAGGGAAAAAGATCACCTATATTAACACTTGAATTGTTCCCCCCTTGGCAGGTTGGGGATGGTAGACAAACACTCTTAACCACTTAGCTACCTCCTCACCATTAATACTTGATTTTTTAAAAAAAATTATTTGTTTTTTCTAGATGTATATGACAGTAGAGTGTATTTTGACATATTATACATACAGAGGATAAGTATAACTTGTTCTAATTAGGATCCCATTATTGTGGTTGTATGTGATATGGAGTTACACTGGTCATGTATTCAAATATAAAAATAGGAAAGATATGTCTGATTCATTCTACTGTCTTTAGCACTTGATTTTTTGATGCTAGCACACAGCAGACATTTGGTTGGACTAGAAGTAGCTATGACACTAACCATGATGGTACCCATCACAACTGAGATTTTTTAAAAAATTTTTTTGTTGGAGATGGACACAATACCTTTATCTTATTCATTTATTTTTATGTGGTGCTGATGATTGAACTCAGTCCAATGCCTCACATATGCTAGACAAGCGCTCTACAACCCCAGCTCCACAATTGAGATTTTTATTCCTTTAAAAAGATATCAAATTATAGATCTATTCATTGATATAATACTTACCAAGGAACTTTTTCTTTTCCTCCAGAGTCAATTTATGTAAAGCCTCCCAAAACATCACTATAGTGGGATGTGAATTATTGTATCCTTGTTCATAACTTGCATTCTAGAGCAAATAAAAGAGAGAAAAAAATTAAGGAAACAGAAAAGAAAACAGAAGTTAATTGATTTGGCATCCACGATGTACCTTTTCTAATGTTTCCCAGTCATAATCTGTGTTTCCAACAATCACATCCTTTAATTCTTCAGGATGAAAAATTTCTATAATCTCTTTGTCACATACTTTATAAAATCCTCTCTGGAATTCTTTGTAAACTGTCTTCACAGAGATGTTGAAGATGTAATCAACACACTTAGAAACATAGTCTCTCCTTTTAATAAAACAAAAACAACAACAAAAAATTACTTCCTTTGATTGCAATAACTGGAAAAAAAAAGATTGGAGGATAAATCTAAAAGCTTGAATGCCTAACAGTCATGAAGTGCTTGCCATGTGCACTGTTATCTTGACTAATTATATCTTTATAATAAATCTGAGACAGATTCCCATATTGTGAATGATTTAGTGAGGAAGAAACAGACATGGTGAAGTTAAATGATAGTTTAAGGTCACAGAGTTCAGAGAATCAATACTTAGATTAGAACAAAATTTGACCTAATATAAAGTCTGAACCGCTACAGTGATTAGTCTCTGGGGACTGACTGGGCTTGGGAGGTGGGCTAAATATCATGTTTTATTATTATGCACCATTACAAATTACCTAAATTTGTATTGGTGAGCAACTGGTGGTTAACACAAACGAAGAAGTAGTTTCCCCTTCTAACTAGGATGAAGTAGCTTACAGCAGACAAATGCTGCCCCTGGGAAGAACCAGCAAAGTCATCAGCTAAAATACAAAAACACCAGGCTCAAAGCTTCTGAATCAGGGTCAAAACTCCAGAGGCCACTATTGGGAAGGAAGGCTCACTGAGGAGGGCCTAGCATTTTCCTTTTGCCCTTCAGGATATTTGCCAATTTTTGATGAAGGCAAAGAAGCCAGAAAGTAAAGAGTCAGATAAATTAGAGTACAAGATTTGGTAATTTAATGGGGATGCACAGAAAAATTAAGTTTGGGGTTATCAAAATAAGAATGTAAGAGGCCAAGGGCTCTGGGAGGAGGGCAGTGCTCTGGGAAGGCATCTCCCAAATTCTTTAGAGGCAAAGACGAATAAGCTTTTGGCACATAAAAAACAGAGCAGAACTTAACAGTCTCCTGAGGCTGAAGAAACAAAAACTGAAGTTCAGGGTCCACCAAAGGGGTCCTAAAAAATTCAGCACTCATTCATGATTAAAAAAAAAACTGAAAAAACTATGGATAGAGGACTAGGGTTGTGGCTCAGTGTTAGAGCACTTGTCTCACATGTGTGAGGCACTGGGTTTGATCCTCAGCACCACATAAATAAATAAAATAAAGAAAAGAAAGATATATTATAATAAAAGATCAAAGACAAAATGAAAAACCTTCAAAACAGTCCAAGAAGAAACTCATATGACTTCAAAAGAGGAACAAAAAGACAAAGTGATGATTTTCAGCGGGGTAATGAAAGCCAGAAGCAATGGAATGGCACTTCTTAAGGTGGTGAGAGACCAGCCCTCCTAGAATTCTGCACTTGTTTGAACTCTTCTTCAAAGTGAAGACTTCATAAAGACACTTCAGATTTTAAAACAAAAATTAAGGGAGTTCATAAATAAATAGGCAACCTGAATTACAGGAAACACTATAAGTATTTCTTCCTCTAGAAAGGAAGTGGATCCCAAGTGCAAAGGGAAGTGCTGAAGGAATGATGGTCAATGTAAAGGAAAATTAGAGCGAGTCCAAATGAACACTGACTCCATCAGAGAATGATTACAATTAGTATTTAAAATTGATGTAGAATTAGATTAATTAAGAATAATAGTGTCCTAAGGCCCACCGCTGGTCATGGAGGTGCATGCCTGCAATCTCAGACACTTGGGAGGCTGAGGCTGAAGACCAGCAAGTTTGAGGCCAGCCTCAGCAACTTCGTGAGGTCTCAAAATATACAATAAAAAGGATTAGGGGTATAGCTCAGTGGTAGAACACCTCTGGGTATAATAATTTAGCAACACTGCCTCAAAAAACAAAAAGGGTTGGGAATATGGTTAAGTGGTAGAGTTCCCTGGTTTTTCCCAGTACCACTGGAAAAAATTGAGAAACAGATTCCCAGAAAAATACAATTTAGAAATAGTTTCTTCTCTAATAGGCTTTAAAGAGTATATGTGAGAAATTTAATCTATAATAAAAATTCACTAATAATAAAATGGCTTCACTGGAAATTCTTTCAATACTTTAGAAAGAAGCAACACCAATAATATATAAACTTTCCCAGACAGCAGGATAAAGGAGATGGCCTACCTAGTCAATGGGACCAGTGTAAGCTCAATGCCAACCTTAGTATCAACATCGTAAAAGAGGAAAATGACTAACCTACAAACTATGCTTTTTACAAACTGGATGAAATAATCATAAACCAAATAGTAGCAAACAGTTATACATAAAGAGAATAATAGATTATCACTAAACTCTGTTTATATCAGGAACACAGAGTTGGTTTAACATTTGAAAACCCAATAGTACAATTCTCCCCATCAAACAAACTCATGATCATTTCAATGGATGCAGAAAAAGCATTTGAGAATATTCAACATTTACTCAAAATAAAAATTCCGAAGAACAGAAGGAAATAACATTAAATCTGGCAAAAATTAAAACCTATGGCAAATGCCACATTTAATGGTAACATACTGAAAACATTACATTTGAGATGAAGAAAGCAAAAGAATGCCTGCTGTTACCATTTCCATACAACCCTAGATGTTTTGGCCACTGCAACAGAGAATATTTTAACAACTGCAAGGATACACTTACAACTCCAATTAATTGCAGAAACATGAATGTGTACCAAAAAAAAAAAAAAAAAACCCCACCAAAAAACAAAAATGAAAAACCTGAAGAATCTATTGAAAAACTATTAAAATAACTGGATTTAAGATCCTTGAATCCTGGGGCTGGGGCTATAGCTCAGCGGTAGAGTGCTTGCCTACCACATGTGAGGCCCTGGGTTGGATCCTCAGCACCACATACAAATGAATAACCATAGAATAACGGTTAAAAAAAAATCCTTGCATCTCAATGTATCAAAACTAATGTTTCTATATGCAAAAATAAACAGTTAGAAAACTGAAATTTTTTGGCTGGGGTTGTGGCTCAGCGGTAGAGTGCCACGGGTGAGGCCCTGGGTTCAATCCCCAACACCACATAAAAATAAATAAATATACTGTGTCCAACCACAACTAAAAAATAAATTTTAAAAAAACCCTGAAATTTTAAAAGTGATAAAATTTATATTAGCATAAAATACATCAAAAGCTAAGAGTAAACCCAATGAAACATAGGCATGCTCTCTACACAAAAAACCACAAAATTTTTCTGAGAGGAACGAGCTAATCAGATGGAAAGAGATTTTATATTCATGAATTTAAAAATTTAATACTTTAAGATGTCATCTATCTCCAAATTTATCTAGATTCAATTCAACCACAATTCAGAATCCCAGCAGGTCGTGGTGGTGGTTGTAGAAACTGATGCTAATACAAGGTTATTCTTTTTTAAAGGAAAAATGACATGCGATATAACAGAAAAGGTAATCTTTCCAATAAATGATGCTAGATCAATTGGATGAGGGAAAAGAGGGAAGGAAAGGAGAGAACAGGAAGAAACCTTATATTACATCTTACTAAAAAAATCACTTGGATTATAGGTCTAAATGTGATAAGTAAAATAAGCTTCTAGGAGAAGACACAGGGTCATACACTCATGGGTGTATAATTGTGAAGGATTTTAGTCATCAGAGAAAAGCAAATTGAAACCATGAGTCAGGTGGTGGATCACACCTGTAATCTTAGCACATAGGGAGGCTGAGGCAGGAGGATCATAAGTTGAAAGATAACCTCAGCAAATAAAAGGAACTGGGGATGTGTCTCAGTGGTAAAGGGTTCCTGGATCCAATTCCTAGTACTAAAAATCAAAACAATCCAAACCCAAATCCACAATGAAATATTACAATGCACCCCCATAATAGCTAATTTAAAAAGTCTGACTAACAAGCTAGGCGTGGTGGCGTACACCTGTAATCCCAGAGGCTGGGGAGCCTGAGACAGGAGGATCAAAAGTTCAAAGCCAGCCTCAGCAATGGTGAGGCACTAAGTAACTCAGTAAGACACTGTCTCTAAAAAAATACAAAATAGGGCTGGGGATGTGGCTCAGTGGTTTGGTGTCCCTGAGTTTAAACACAGGTCCCCCCACCGAAATGATGTTAACAATAACAACCATCAGAGAGTTTGTAGAGCAATTAGCACTTTCATACCCTGCTGGTAGAAGTCTGTCTCCATTCTGGATGTGTGCAGACTACCCACTTTCAGGTCCCATTACTCCCCCTATCACCACATCTGCACAATAGGTAATAAAGCCCTCAGGCTCTCTCCCTTGGCACTCGGGGAAGGTTAAACTATACAAGCTCTGGACTACATGGGAACACTCATCATAGTCACATGTCTGAACCACCATAAAAACCAGAGGCATCTGCCTCTTCCTTCACTTAAGCCAAACAGTTTAGGATAAGTATCTGCCCAGCTCTCCCCAGAAAGCCTCATTATATGTGTAATATTCTTATACTCTCATGTGTACATGTGGCAGTAAAACTTTAAAAACTCCAACCAATACTGGGTGGGGGGATTGATCCCATCCTGCATGGGGGGCAACCACCAAGACTGCCAGAAATAATTCTCCTAGTTATATACAACAAACATGCACATACACAAGCAACCACATACACACACAAGAATGTTCACAGCATTACTCACAATAATCTAAGACTTGAAACACATCCTGTCTGTCAATAACACTACGGGTGAACAAACTTTAGTATATTCACGCAGTATACAACTACTACAGCTGGAAATGATCTGTTTCTCAGTGTGGATGGTAATTACATAAGTACATTCATTCATTAAAATATACACTTATCATTGTAGAATTTTCTATATTATATCATTGGACTACATTGGGGACACTCTCCATGGTCTCATGTCTGAACCACCATAAAAACCAGAGGCATCTGCCTCTTCTTTTCACTTGAGCCAAACAGTTTAGGATAAGTGTCTGCCAAGCTCTCCCTAGAAAGCCTCATTATGTGCATATCTCTATATCTCAATACAAAGTTAAACAAAAATTAAGAAATAGATTAAGAATAGATTTGGATTAGGCCAGTATGCTCCCTAGAGATCTCTTTGCCATGTAACCAACCATCAAGGGAATGAACTATGATCCTAAACTATATGGCTTTAAGTAGCATCCCACAGGTGCAGTGAAGTCATATCACAATAACCTACTCAATACAAGGTGCCTGCCTGCTACATACTGGGCACTACTATAGACCACTTGAGGGTCCAACATGCAGTGTGAAGCATACAGATCAAGTCTCTGCCACCACACAGCTTTCACTATGGGGGAGGGGGGCATGCACTGACAAATAAGCAAATAAATCCTGAGGGCAAGTGAAGTGTTACAAAAAAAAAACTAAAGCAAAATAAGGGAAAAAAGAGGTTAGTAGTATATTATTTTACACAGGAGGAAAAGGGGAGGTTTCTCTGAGAATGCCATTTCCATTCATTACAGTATGAACCCCATGGTGTACATATCTATACATACAACACACAACTCCTCTGCCCTACTGAAAAATGATTATCGGGAATAAAAAAATTATACAAAATAAAAAAAACTTTTAGAGCTTAGTGAGATAAATATTATGTATATAGAAACCAAATACTTTATTTCTTTGTACGTACTTGTTGGTCTGGTTGACAACTATGGAGCTTCCATTAGGAATTAAGTTTTCGTCATTTCTGTCCCAATGCAACTGTGAACAAAATAAACTCAGATAACATCTCCAAAAATAATTCTGAACAGTTTAGCACCACCAAAAATACTTTGGAGTGAATCTCTTTTCCTACAAGATTTATGAGAATGTACATCTTTGTCAAAAACTAGAAGAAAGGTATAAACAAAAAACTACCATTCATCATGAAGAATGTTAAATAGTTTTTTTTTTTCAAAACTTGAATCATCTTAACTGATCAGATTTAACAAACTAATCAGAAAATTGTCAGAACTCAATATTTGCTTTACATGTAGTGTAGACAGTGTGGCAGATTTGCAAAATGACTACCAATTCCTCCCTTCCCCTAAAAGGAGCAATGTGACTTGGCAATTCCTCCCATCAAGAGGTGAGTGCATATCTTCAGCCATTGAATCTGGGGTGGCCATGTGCAGTACTTTGGCTAATGGGATCTGACAGAAGCAGAAACTTGAGAAGCTGCTGTGTGTTAGGCTTGCTATTTACCCTGTGAAGCGGCCTTGGCTAGCCTATTAGTAAATAAGAACCCACATGGAACAAAGACCAGCTGTTTCAGCTGACACTCCATAAACCAATCCACGTGCCCATCACCAGGCATGTGGTAAAGGCCATGGCAGATCACCCAACCCCACTCACCCAGCCCAGACACACAGAATCATGTTTGAGCTACTAAGTTTAAGGGTAGGTTGTTACATAGTAAAATTTAATATACCCAACTAATGAAAAACAAGGAAAAAACATCTTTTCATTAACATGATTTAGAATTTTTTTTTGAAGTAAAAGGTGACATTTAGGTAAAGTATCTAAAGGGTTATTAATGAAAGCTAAAACTGAATATCAGGTTTTTATTGTTACTCACATTAAAATGGACGTAAAATACTTCTCCAAAGTCATTGCCTTCATCATCCAGAAGTGTCTGCAAACTCCTAAGAAAGAATTTTGTTTTTAAAAGTACAGTAATCTCTCATATATATTTTAGATCACCATCTATAATAACTACTGGCATGAGTACTGCTAATCCAAAGGCGGGGGTTAATGTTTATGGCACCCATTTTCTGTGGATTGACAGTTAAACTGGGCCTGAACTCAGCTAAAATGTGAGGCACAGGAAGCTTATCTGTAGGGTCCCTTCTGATTTGTAGCTCTTTTCCTTCAACCCTAACTTTCTTAACCCAGTGATGCAGGTTTCTAGCTAGAAAAGGAAAACATGTTTACTGACAGCAAAATTCATTCAAACTGGCATTAGCCCTCTTTATGCTTTTGAATTTCACCTACAGATTAATAAGTTTCCTATCAATATTGGATAACATGAAATCTGAGGAGTAAGTTAGAGGACCTTCTCTTCTATCTCTTTTCCCAGTACCATCGAGCTTAAGAAAAACCTGAAATTCTACTATCTTATTAATTTCAAGGCACCTCTCACAGCAGCTTCCATCAAGAGGTCAGGAGCCAGCCTTTTCAGATTTCCAGCCTGTCATGCTGTGGTACTTTATACCTACTTTCAAAGTCACATGTCTCGCATTGATTTTTGCTTACACACTCGTTTATTCACTTAGCATTCAAGCAGACCCTAACATGGAAGGCATAGGGAATGTAAAAGATGAGACTAACCCATCACCAACTAACCCTGAGGGACATAGGTGAGGTATGCTGAGGAAGTCCCCCCTATGGTATAGTCAGATCTGTGCAAGTGTGTAAAAGACACAGGTGTAGCTTCAAAGAAATTTCCAAAGGGACACCTATTTTTGGGAAAGATTTCTGGAGCTGTGTTCCCCGACCCCCACCAGACTTTTATTACAATATTGTAACATAATAGATCATACTTATTGTTTTTTAGGGAGAAAAGGAGGCAAATTACTCTCTAGGTGTAACCCTGTGAAATCAAACAAGTTATTGCTTCCAATGACAGAATAGGTGACATTCTTATTCTAGAAAAGAGATAAGAGGCCAGGCGTGGTGGTGTATGCCTGTAATCCCAGCAACTTGTGAGGCAGAGGCGAGAGGATAGAGAGTTAAAAGCCAGCCTCAGCAATTTAGCAAGGCACTAAGCAACTCAGTAAGACCCTGTCGCTAATAAAATACAAAATAGGGGCTGGAGATGTGGCTCAAGCGGTAGCGCACTCGCCTGGCAGGCGTGCGGCCCGGGTTCGATCCTCAGCACCACATACAAACAAAGATGTTGTGTCCGCCGAGAACTAAAAAATAAATATTAAAAAAGATTCTCTCTCTCTCACTCTCTCTTTAAAAAAAAATACAAAATAGGGCTGGGGATGTAGCTCAGTGGTCAAGTTCCCCTGAGTTCAATCCCTGGTACACCCCCCCCCCCCCGTCCCCATAAAAAAGCTAGAAAAGAGACAAGAGAAAGAGGAAACAGTTCCCAAGTTAAATCCAAAAAACCCCAAAGGGTGAACATGGAATTTTTAGGTCTGAGAATAATCTTTGGATGGCTCACCTTTGATAGGGCTGGGATTGGAAACTGCCCCCATAGCTTTGCCAGGCATAGCCCACCTAACAGCTCTCAATGGTGGCAGCCGTATACCTGTGGCTCTCTTAGGCTGGAGTGGCTTGCTGGTAGCTCTACTGTCCTGGGGTCTCTAGGGAAGCCTCACTTCTTGGCAATTCTCTGCCTGGGCCAAATGATTCTGTCAGGCACCCTCTGAAATCTGTCAAGGAAGCCATACCTCCAGGCATGTGTGCTCTGTACGCTTACAAATATGGGGGCACCGGATTCCCTAGCACCTATGTATTTACCACCTGTACACTCAAGAAGGGTGGCCACTGCAGTCACACCAAACCCAAGTTCAGTGGAGCCCAGTAGGATTGGCTGAGCACTGTGCTAGAATGCAGGGAGCAGAGATTTGATATAGTGCCAAGCATAGACCGTGAGGTCTGATGATACCTAGGGTCTCTCCTTTGACACAGTTCTGTATCCTAGGCCTTGAGTGGAAGCTCTGATGATTTCCACAAATGCTGTCAGTCATTTTCCCATCATCTTGGTGAACAGAGCCAGGCCCCAGTTAATCCATACTACCCTCTTTACCAAAGATTGCTTGGCCACACCCCCTTGGTGGTTTCCCCCAAACACACCTTTTCAGCTTTTTACAACATGGCCAGGCTCCAAATTTCTCCAAATCTTTATGTTCTACTTCCCTCTGAGTACAAATTCCTATTTTTTTTTTTTTTAGTATTAAAGACTGATGCCAGGGATGCTCTACTTCTCAGATACATCTCAGTCCTTTTTAAAATTTATTTTAAGACAGGGACTCAGTAAGTTGCCCAGGCCGACCCCAGCAAACTTGTGATCCTCCTGTTTCAGCCTCCTGAATAGCTGGGATTATAGGTGTACATCACTGCATCACAAATTCAATCTTTAAATCATTTCTCTCTTCTCACATTTTACTTTAAGCAATCAAGAAATCTTACTGCTCCTCAACAATTTGCTTAGAAATTTCTTTTCACAATTCTCTGCTCATAAATTCTACCTTTCACAGAATACTAAAACATAAACACAATTCAGCTAACTTTTTTGCCATGTTATTATAAGGACTGCCCTTTCTCCAGTTTCAAATAACATCCCTCACTTGTTTTGAGACTTTTATCAAATGGCCTATAGTGTCCCTATTCTATCCAACACCTTCATCATAACCACTTAGGTAATGTCCAAGAAGACTGTAGCCTTCTCTATCACTTTCCTCTTTTGAGTCCTCATCAGAATAGCCCTTCATGGTCTGTTTGCAGCATTACAGACTTTTTCCAAACCACATCTCAAAACAATTCCAGCCCCTGCCTATTACCTAAATGCTTGCAAATTGCTTCCACAGTTTCACATATTTGTTATAGTAATATCCCCGTCTTGTCTTCTCATTTCTGACTTCATCCATTTTGGCTTCTGTAACAAAATACCTTATACGAAGATGATTTATAAACAATAGAAATTTATTGCTCATTAGAAGCTAAGATCAAGACAACAGCAGATTCTGTGTCTAGCAGGGGACAGTTCACCACAGATGGTGCCTTTAATGTGCCCTCACAAGGCAGAAGAGGGGAATAAGTGCACTAATCCCACTGAAAAGGGCTTTGCCGTGGGATCTAATCATTTCTTAAAGACTCTCCCCCAAATACTATAGCATGGGGTAGGCAGACCGCAACAGTTCCCCCTCTCATTTTTCTATCATCCTCAAATGAGTTCAAATATCTACCAGTTTCATTAAGGTATCTATCTCTTGGCGAACAGAGAAGCTCTTTAATCTTAATGCTGTTAAATTTATCAATCTTTTCTTTAAAAGTTGGTTCTATGTCTTGAAAACTCTATCCTATAGATCTTCAGTATCTATATCCATCTTCTATATTTTAGTCATTTTTGCATTGAATACTTAAGTCCTTTATCCACATGGAGGACTTTTGTGTGAGGCATTAGGCAATGATCTACTGTCACTTTTCTCCCAGGTGGGTAATAAGTTTTTACAGATCTATTTATTAAATAATACTATTTCCACTAATCTAACATGCAACCTCTAACAAAACTGCATATATACCCAAGTCATTTTCTGAGCTTTCTCTTCAGCACCACTGGAAACCCTACACCATTAACATGCTGTTCTAATTAGTACAGCTTTCCAATAATTCTGGGTATCTGGTAGGCCAAGTTCTCCATCTTTATTTACTCTGAAGAATTATGTCTGGCTATTCTTGGTCCTCTGTTCATTCATAGAAAATTTAGAATCAGCTTATGAGGTTTAATAAAAAGTCTACTGGGAAAAAACTGGAGAATTACAGAATTCAGAGAGATCAGTGAGTGGTTTTCAAAATGTGGCTCAGGCCAAGAACTACTGGGAACCTTGGGGATTTTACAGAGAGTTCACAGGGTCAAAACTACTTTCATATTACTAAGATGCTATTTGCCTTTGTGCATTGTGTCATGAGTAGAGAGTAATTTTCCAGAGGCTATGTGAAACTGTGGAGTCCTCTGATAGCTAACAGAATGTTTGTGTATTCCTGTGTTTAAAACATTTCTCATTTTTAACTTCGAATACTGTAAATACCAACAGATATAACCAACAAAAGAAAAAGCTCTTTGTGGTCTTCAATGATTTTGAGATAATCTTCAAACTTGAAAATTTGAAAAGTGCTATTCACATACATATTTACTGAGTTTATGTATGTTAAAAATACAGGGGCTGGGGCTGTGGTTCAGTGGTAGAGCACTTGCCTGGCATGTGTGAGGAGGCATTGGGTTTGATTCTCAGCACTGCATATAAATAAAATAAAATTCTACCAATAGCTAAAAAAAATATTTTAAAAAATACATAAAAGTGACTAAAGTTAGTTAAGTCTTCTTGGGTATAAGCATTATTTAGGTCTTCTTCAGTGTTTGCCGTAAAAACAATGACAAATTTATCTTCTTTCCAAATCTTGTGTTTTTATTACATTTTCCTTGTCTTATTATTTAGTATAATGAGAAATAATTGGACTCTGGAGCCAGATCTATGTTCAAGTCGTGGGTCTGACACTGAGGGGTCCTCTGCAAGTTACCTAACCTCTCTGTTTCAGTTTCCTTAACTAGAAAATGGAGGTATTCATAATAGGATCATATTACTATTTTCATTATTTTAAAAATCTCTTCATTATTTAAAAAAGTCTTTATGTCTGATTGCATAAATATACTAAATACGCTGGGTATAGTGGCACTTGCTGTAATCCTGGTGAGTAGGAAGGCTCAGGCAGGAAAATTATAGGTTTGAGGCCAGTCTCAGAAACTTAGCAAGATCTTCTATCAAAATAAAACCAATGAGGGTTGTAGTTGAATGGTAAAGTGCCCCCAAGTTCAATCCCCAGTACCCACCCCCCAAATATATATATATGTGTAGACATAAATATTAAAGGACATTTTAGGAAGCTCTTATATTTTTATAAATTATAATACAATGTAGGTTAGTATCACAAACTATTGCAGGGTTTTGCTTTATTCTTCTTCTTTTTCTTTTTGCAGTGCTGGGGACTGAACCTAGGGCCTCGAGTATGTTAGGGAAGCACTCTACCATTGAGCTACACCCTCAGCCTGTGGCTATATATTTCTAAAAGTGAAATATTTAGAAGTAGACTTGCTGAGTCAAAGGGCATATAGAGTTTTAGTTTTCACAAGTACCATGTCACACTGTTCTGAAAAAGGAGTACTAATTCACATTTCCATTAAATACCTGAAATAAGAGTAAACCTTTCCCCAAACCCTTGTTACCTCAATTTAGCACCAATATCTCAATCCTCTCTGTTGAAGCACCAGATACCTTCTCATGTTGACATATACTCCAGGAGCACTAGTGAGACTGAACACCTTTTTAATTGTGAGCCATTTTATTGTTTCTTTTGTTGTTTGTCTTTTCAGATACTTTGTTAATTTGAATTAAGGATGTGTAGGGAAAGTGTTGCACAGCAGGGACAATAATGTATGTTACCAATGTTTCCCACGTGGTACTTTGTCTTTCAACTAAAAAGTAAATTTCTACTTTATTTATTTATTTTTTTATTGTTGGTCGTTCAAAACATTACACAGTTCTTAATACATCATCTTTCACAGTTTGATTCAAGTGGGTTATGAACTCCCAACTTTACCCCGTATACAGATTGCTGTATCACATAAGTTACCCTTCCATTGGTTGACATATTGCTTTTCTAGTGTCTGATGTATTCTGCTGTCAGTCCTATTCTCTACTATCCCCCCTCCCCTCCCTTCCCCTCCCCTTTTCTCTCTCTACCCCTTCTACTGTAAATCATTTCTTCCATTTGTATTATCTTGTCTTACCCCTCCTTTCCTCTTATATATCATTCTCACTCCCTT